AACTTGGCTGTCAGACATTAAGTTCTGCAGAGATTTTTCTAGATAAGAACACTGAACAAAGGTATGGGGGGAATCCCTTCCAGTATTGCTCTCCTTCCTTGACTCTGTAAAGCCCAGAAGCCCTAATTTATCCTGGTCTTTTGGTTAGTCTGTTAGCCTCCAAGGCTGTAAGCCTAGTGTCCTGAGAATATAGTCATTTCCACTTGAAAACTCTTGCCTTGGAGAACATGTAATAAATGCTTGCTGAGGAAATAAGACTTGAGTTTCCATGTGTTAAGACTTCACCAAGCACTCAACCTGGTAAGTCTTGCCAAGGAATACTGTCCTGCACAAAGCCCCTTTCTGCATGTTCCCAGTGCCCTCGGTCACTGGCTTTAGGTTTGGGCCTAGGAGTGCTTGTTTACCTAAAAATCTATATTTAGAAACTTGAGTTACTCAGGAACAGACACATTAGGATAAAGCTACCTTAATCATAGCACAAGTGAATGAACAGCTTCCTGGGGAACTGCTTGCCAGATTAACTTTTCTCATCTTCACTTTCTGCAAGCAAATTCTTCACAGTATCTGTCCTTTTGCTTTGTTATTACTGTTTTTTTCTTGCTGAGAGTAGATGACCTGTTCCCCAGTTGCACCTGGAGTGTGCCGTTGCCATGACTCATATTTGACTCCTCTCTCTCCAGAAAAGATCTAAGCGTGAAATACCCTGAAGACCTCCCCATCACCCTTCCAAACCTGCTGAAATTCATCTTGCATCACTCAGACCCTGCCTATGTCCCCCAGAATGTGGCCAACACCCCTTCCAGAGGTTGTCTCCAGAGTGAGGCAGCCTTACAGCAGGGGCACATCTCCTACTTGGAGAGAGAGATCCAGAAACTGCGAGCAGAGTTGAGCAGCCTTCACCGAGCTCAAGTGCAAGTAGAGGGTCAGCTGTCCAGTGCCCGCAGGGATGAGCGCCAGCTGCGCAGGCAACAGCAGGCCCTGGAGCAGCAGCACAGCCTGCTGCGGCAGCACAGCGAGCAGCTGCAGGCCCTGTATGCCCAGAAGGCCCGTGAACTAGAAGAGCTGGCTGATGCCTCAGAGACTCTTCTCACCGAGAACACATGGCTCAAGATCCTGGTGGCCACCATGGAGAGAAAGCTGCAGGGCCAGGATGGGGCCGAGGACCCAGCCTCACTGAGAGAAGCACACCCTGACCACCCTGAGCCTGCAGGTGCCCCCCTGTTACCCAGTGGGACTCCCCCGCCTTCCAATGCCAGCTCCCCACTGGCATCTGAGAGGAAGAATGAGAACAGGACCGACTAACTTGAAATAATGAAGGAATCAGAGGTGAAAATTGTACATTGGGAATATATTTATGCAAATTTTATTGAAACTTACTGTAAATAAAGATTTTCTCAGTGGTCTAAAAAATGAACTTCAATGTTACTCAGCTTTTATTGACAGGGATGACATCCCTTCTACTTATTGCACAAACTTGGTATCTTTGAGACAAAAACAGTAGCACAGTCCATCTGAAGAGCGGTCTGAAGAATTTGTCTATAATTTAGTGGCTCAATGTCAAGAGTTCCTTCCCCCACTCCCCTGCTGCTGCCTCTGCCATGATACAAAGGATGAAAGGTTAATTTCCTGGCTACTCAGAAAACTTAGGTGTAACAATGGGGCTATTAAGAAAAAATCCAAAGAGAGGTCATGACTTACTAATCATCTGAGTGTGGTGAGGTCTCCTAAAGTGGGGCTACTGATAAACATTAACAGGGAGGGCTGTTCTGTGATGTACACCAGTTCTCTGGGCATTTCGTCTTCCAACGACCACACCATGCTTCACCCATCCTGTGCTTTTACACTTTGATGGGCCCAAATCAAGCTCCATAGATGTTGCAGGCCACCAGGGGGTTGGGGTGAGAAAATCTCTAAAAGTGAAACTGATGAAAAAGCCACATCTGATTGTTTCAAAAACCAAAACTTCACTGGCACAGTAAACACTGCAAGTAAAGCCTGACAGTGGAGCACAGGCCAGGCTCAAAAAATGCAAATCCCAGCCACTCCATGGACAAGAACAAATAGCCTATGCTTATGCTGCTGGCTACTTGAATAGAGGTAGAAAGCCTGGAAATTCTGAAATGGGAGGGGATGATCAAAAGCCTCAGCCTTTTCCAACTACCTCCTTCACATCACCAGCTGGCACCTTTGGGCCCCCTGTCCCCTCTCCAAGGTCCTATCACAGTGGCTGGCCCACTGCTGGCACCACCATGCACCCTGCCCACCTTAGCCTGTGCTGCCTTTGCTTGTCCAACTGGTCCTCACCTCTTCCCCCCCTGACCAAAGGCATTTTCTCCCATTCCTAAGGGTCCTCAGGAGCCCAACTCTAGTGCTTCAGTACTACTTTCAATACAGTGGCCCCATTAGCTACCCCTGTCCCACCCCAAGTCGTTATTTAATGTTGCTAAAATATAAGTGCTCCCTGTAGCTCCCCACAGGGGTTCTGGAAAGAGGATTAGTTAACATGCTTTTTGGAGAGGATGCCTCAAGCCTGGCAAAGAGGCCTGACCTCTGTGCTCCCTGGCTATGCTGTTTGCAGCTGGTACAAGTATATAGGGCCAGTGCCCTGAGGTTAAACCTGGGCTGGCCTCTGGCTCATTATCCAGGATGCCAAAGCATGTCATGTTTGAATCAGGATATTTAGAAGACACATGCAGTTAAAAGTCTTAAGGGAGCTCAGTGAAACACACAAAGGACAACTCAGATGCAGCTGTCAAGGTGTGGGCTTGATAGAGCTACCAAGTTCTCATCTGTGAGAACCTACACTAGAACTCATTCCCACCCCTCCCCCAATCCCTGCACTAAGTACAGACTGGCAGGGAGCATCTGGTGGCTCCTGTGTGAATGTGACTGCACAAAAGAATGCCCTTCCACTGCACATGGTGCCTTGAGAGCTGAGTTGGGGCCACGTGACCATCTACACAGCGCCCCACCCCCCACCCCCAGGAAAGTGAAATCCAATACCCAGCAGGTAGGTCATCAGAGGAAAGGAAGCTAACTTTCAAAAAGGGGATAAAGGGATGGCCACACTCAACAGCAACCTCCTCCATCTCACCAGTGCAGAAATTAAATACAAAAAAAAAGTTTCCTCTCCAGGGCCATTTGGGTTTCAGACAGAAGGCAATGGGCTCTGGTGCTTCTATGAAGCCTGAGCTAAGGGGGTGTACTCAGCATGCACAAGACCAAAGGGACAGGAAACTGCTCTGCTACCAAGCTGCCTGGCAGCTCTCAGGATGCATACCCTGATGCGTCCTTCACAGGCTTCCAAGCAGGTACAGTAGCTTCCTTGCAATAACGCCATCAACAGGCGCTGCTATTTAGTATCTGCATCCCCTGAATGGAGGGAGGGGTGGTGTTCTTCTTTGACCCAATACTAAGCAAAATTCACCAAAGCACCCCAACTAGTCAACTATGAGACCTAACACTTTATACCTCACTTCCTTTACACGGATAGATATAGAGATAGATACCAGAGCCCCCACCAAGTGCAGCTTGGGTCTTAAACTCCAAGACCCACCATGGTCTTGAGTCAGCTCATCATGAGTACAGTCCTAATCAAACCAGTTCCTCCCATGTGCTCTAAGTGATATTTTAAAAAATCAGCAAAAAGGCTTAAGCACGTGCTTCTGGGGCCTATTTACAGTTCACAGGTTTGTTAATTCACGCATTACAGTAGTAGCTCCGTCAAAAACAGGCTCAGCTAAACATTCAAGTAACGAAAGCTCTACGGGGCCATAAGCCCCAGCAAGGTCAGGCCTACCCACTGCCTGCAATGGGCAGCCCCACCAGGAGGCCAAGGGGAAGCCCAAGACAGCCAGGCCTCCAGAGTCAGAGCATGCGATGATGAAGCCTGCTGAGGCTAAGCCAGCAAGTGTCAACCCTTCCTCTCCAACAGCAGCATGACTGTTCTGCTCTCCCGGCGCCTCTCAGCTGGCTGCAGACAGGACCAGGAGCCTCATAGCCCAGATCAGCCGTGCACTTCTGGGCCATTGGGCGTCATCAGCTTGGCCTTCCTCTCCACACACGGTCCCTTGGCTGAATACTGCACCAGCAGAAAGGGCTCCTTGGTCTCGCCATCCCCCACGATGCTCTCCTCATCCTCGGACTGGCTGATGCGCTGCAATCGCAGGTAGCACCAGCAGCCCAGGATCAAGGCCCCCAGCGCAGCAATGGCAATGAGGATGACAATGACCGTGACCACACCAGTGGTCGGGCTGTGGTCCATAATAGACATGGTCAATGCTTGGGGGCACTTCCTTGGCAGGAAGCTCTCAAGGGTGGCTGGCTCAGTGAGGCTGGAACTCCGGCTGGACACACGAGTCCTAAAAGACAAAGCAAGTGAGGCTACACCAGCGACTTCATGGGACAAGACCACTCACAAGCTCCAGTTGGCATGTCTGTATCTTTGGGTTTTTTAAATTTATTCTGTAGTACTGGAAACAAAACCCAGAGTGAACTACAAATGAACTACATTCTCAACCCTTTTTATTTTTTGAGATAGGGTCTGGTTAAGTTGCCGAGGCAGGACTCAAACTCATAATCTTACCTGAGCCTCCTTTAGGATTATGGCTCCATGGGTCTATTTTTAAGAATTCTTTAGCCTGATCATCCTGCCCACATACTAGTGAAAACCATAAAACTGGCTTTCACTCTCTTCACAGATGCTTACCCCAGCCTGCTTCCACCAACGCCTCTCATACCTAGTTGTTTAACCGCAGAGAGCCAAAACACATCACTTAACCACCAGTCTGAAAAATGGGAAGGGAAGATGGGACACACTACAACTGTGGCAGAGGTCCTAAAAGGGCTGCACTCCACTGGATCTTGGGCTTAAGGTGTACATTCTGGAAGCCAGCACCACTGAATGTCCAAGAACCACTTGGGGACTGAGAGAAGCCAGTGGCTTCCTGGAGGCTAAAGAGGAGGGCCTCAAACACGTAAATGGCATCTGTCCCTGTTGGGGGCAGTCCTTCCCAGTCCTTCTGGGACCCCTCTGTGAGAGGGCGCAGAAGACGAGAGCTTCTACCACAGCGCCTGCGGCTGGCCTGGGAAGGTCCTGGTACTCAGACACACTGAAGCTAGACACTGAAGTGGAAGAGGGCCCTAGAACCTCCAGATGCTGGGAAGAGTGTCAGGGAAGACGGTAAGTATGACAGTCCGCTCCTCTCTGCACACAGATCAGCGTATGGTGCAGAAGCCAGACTTCCTACACAGGTCAATACTCCACCCTCACTACAAAGGCAGGTGCCATATGACTACCAGGGACTAAGTGTTGTGGCACTAACCTCAGAGTGCAGGTGCGTTGCAGGAAGGCCACACTGGTGAGAAAGAGCATTCCCAGCAGGGGAATAGCAGCTGCTGAGACTGAGGGTAGGAGAGAGGGCAGCCAGTGTGTGTGGAGTGGGGGCTGGCAGGGGGAGCATTCTGGGTCAGGTCAGGCTCAGACTCAGGCAATAGAGGGAGGCGAGGTCCCACCTCCTAGCCATGTGACCTGAGAGAAAGAACTCCCTCTTCCACCAAGCCCCAGCCTCCCTCTGCAGCAAGGACTTCTGAGTGGCAAAGGAGAGGCTGTCTGTGTAACATGTGTGGGCTCCACAAAACCCAGGCTCCAGTCGCTCTCTGCCTTCTGGGGTTTACGCTAGGTGACACCTAAGGCCTAGCCTGTGACAGACCCAAAGAGGAGGGCTTTGCTGCTGTTGCCACCCCGAGTGCTGAAGCTAACAGACTGTGCCCCTGCCAAGAAGCTGCACTGCCTCCCGCCTCCTGCTGCCACCGCGTGAGGGGAGCACGTCACAGTAACTCACACCTCCGCAGCCAGGAGGGTGCAGGACAGACCTCAGGTGCACTGCACACAGGGCTGGCAATCTGCACTGAGAACTGGATGTCTGAATTCGGTTTTGCTTTTCCTTTTCTTTTTCTCTTCTTCAATACTGAGGATGGAATTCAGGACCCTGAACATGCTACACAAGTGGTCTACCAGTAAGCCATATTCCCAGTCTTTTTATTTATATTGACAAGGTTTCACTGAGTTGCCCAGGGTGGCCTCAAATGTGTGATCTTCCTGCCTCAGACTCTTGAGCAAGGACTACATGCATAGGCTACTGCACCTGGCTAAATGCCTTTTTTTTCCCCCCAGAAGAGTGACGTCAACACAGGTACACAGCATTGGAGGTTTTATCCTCCAAGCAGGACTAAACCTGCCATGTCCTTGAGCAACAACAGCCTTAATTAGAAATGACTTACCCAACTGGGGAAGCTCTCCAGGGGCAGGCCTGCCTGAAGGTCAAGGGCAGCTAAGTCAATACCCCAGTGTATCCAGGGACCAGGCTGTGAGCGGGGACTACCTCACTGCCACCTGAGCTCACCTCTGCAGAACTGTCACCTGGACAGGAGGAGGTGACATCCTTGTAGTCTGCAGCCTCCAGGATCCAAGATGCTGCCCTCCCTCTGAATAGGCTCTACCTGTACAGACCCATGGCAGCCAGTGGCTCTTTCAATCCAAGGTCACAGGACACACCCAAGTCCTCACAGTGACCTAAGGATGACACGCTACATCTCAGCCACACCACCTCCACACACCCCTACCCCGGCTACCCTTGAGAAGCTCCCTCTACCTGGATGATATGCTCCCTTACCGTTTTCAGTGATCCTCCACTGGGGGTAACTGTGCTCCCATCCTGGGGACATCTGACCACGCCCAAAGCCATGTTTAGTTGTTACCAAAAGGACAGGGAGGTGCTACTACTGGTATCTAGTGTGAAGAGGCCAGGGGCCTACTGAACATCCTACCAGGCACAGGATGGTCCTCACACCACCACAGCACCACAGCACCTGGCCCCAGATGTTAGCAGTGTGAAGGTGAAGCGATTCTGACTTCGTTATTCCAGCTCTGTAAGGAAGCCTACCTCACCAGGAAGACAGCCAGGCCTCCCTCCCCCAGGGCTCTGGGCTCACTCTGCAAGACTGGGTGCAACCACCGTCTTGGTGCTTGCTCCCCACGTGACCCACCCAGCCTGTCCTCTCAGGCCTCCAGACTGGACAGGGCATCCCTGGCTTGGGCAGCCTCCTGCAGTGCTGATGAGCCTGCCTCCACCTGCCTTGCCTCCACCTCCCACTCCCACTCCCACTCTTGTGGACAGGAAGGCAAGTCAGTACCAATTCAGAAGGTAAGCATATGTATGGAGGCTGGCGGTAACTCACGGGCAGGAAATGAATCCGACAATGGTGCCGGGACCTAAGGGGGACAACCCACAGGTCAAAGCCAACTGGGGGTAGCATCAAGAGGCACCCACAAGTCCAGGGGGAAATCAGCTATCCTGGAATGAACAAGGAAACAGATACAAGTAGCCCAGCTCACAGGGACCTTCTGAGAGGAGGAGTGACCTCAAACCCCTGCCTGCTCCCTTGCCCCAGGCATGGAGGTGGGTAGTGCCACATAGTGGGCCTGTTACTCCGGAGCACAGAGCCTGGTGTCCAAGCCAGTCACGCCTGACCTGTGGTCCCCCGGTCTCGCTGGAGTGTGCTGTTTATTCCTGCTTTACCTAATCAAGTACTTCCTGAGAACCCATCTAAAAAATGTTATCACATCATTTTCCACTTAGACCCTCCCTCGTCTCCAAAGACAATCCAGATTCCTTGCCTGCACAGGCTGCTTCCTACCCTCCCTGTGGACCCCACTCTGCCCCCAGTCCCGTAGCCCCAGAGTTCTTCCTGTCTCACTCATGGTTGGTTCCTTCCTGTAACTGGAAATGTCCTCAGAAGATACCCCTGAAGGTTCCTCCAAACCCCGACTCCGATGCTCCTTCTTCCTACACTCAACACCACTCTGCCCTACTTCCCTTTATTTCCTAGAGCTTGGTGCTGCCAGAAATTCTCTCCAGTCAGGGGTGTGTTTCCCTGGCTGCTGTCTCCCCCCACCCGCCGAACTCTGTGTGTAAGAGGAGGCATCATGCACCCTGCCTATAGCTATGTCCCCTGCCCTGTCATCAGCACACAGCAAGTGCTCAAAAAAAGCAGCCAAGAGTTCCAAGCCCAGGGCTGCTCTTATCGGGACCCCAGCTATGAGCCAAGGCCCTAATGCCAGGCCACTCCAGGACCTGGAGCACAGGCCCTGTGGCCACCCCTCAGTCTTCAAGGAAGGACAGGTTGCAGCTGGAGCACTGGGCACAAGTGTGCCAGTGGCCTCCAGCAGGATGAGCCCATGCAGGGCAGCTGCCCCCATGTGCTGGGGGGAACTGGGAGGCTGAGGCCAAGAAATTCAGTGGCCAGCTTAGCCAGCACAGGACTGGGTCCCAGTTAGGGGCAAAGGGTTCTGGCACTCCCTGGCTCCCTCAGCACTTAAAATGCAGGACAAATCTGGCACTTGAAGCTCAGATGTCCTGCCCTAGGGGCAGCTCCAACTGGGCCATACCCTCCTGCTCCAAGAAGCCTCTGACCTCTCTCCCTGCAGGAAAAGCTCAGGCTCTCCAGTCTGCAGAGCTCCAACCCCCTAACACCCTTAAAGCGTGTCAGCAGGAGCCCAGGACACCCGTTTCCCCTGGCAGAAGAACAGCAACAACCAATTCCAGGGGCTCCCCGGCCAGCAGGGCTCTGGGGCCTCTTGGGGCTGCTCAGGATGCAGTGTTACAGGAACTGCTGTACCCAGTTTCCCACGGGACACACAGGAAGGGGCTGAGGCCCAGCTCCTCGAACCAGTGTGTTCAAAAACTCAGTCAGAGAAGGGGTCTCCTACGGTTTCCCAGCCTCCCTTCCTCTCAGGCCATGTCTCTCCTCTAGGCCTTCCTCTAAGGAGGGGACCTAAGTGGCCCTTCCTCTTGATGGGATCCTACAATAAACCTTCACCCACACAATTCCCTCCCTTTTCTCCTCCTTCTTCCATCACCTTGCCCTAACTGCTGTGGGCTCTTCCCATGCAGAGTGGGGATGCCCCCCGCCACCTCACCTCCTGGCCCCTTCAGAGGGACATGCTGCCTGCCTCCTCACTCACCTGGGTACATCATTAATGTTGCCTGGCAAAACTGGGAGCCTGCGTGCCAGCCCCACCTCCTCCCAGGGCTCCTCAACAAGGGGCTTGCCCTGCTTACAGGGGGTAGTCAACCCTCAGGGTCTTCCAGCACTGCCCACAGGGCTGAGCCAGGCACCCACTCCAAAGAGTGGGTGGCACTAAACAAGGGTACCATCCAACCAGGCGCTGCCTCTTCAGGGGTCCTTGGTTCACAACCCAGCATCATTGCCTGCCCTGGGTTGTGAATAAGTAAACAGGACTGTAGGAAAAGCAGGCACTGCTTAACAGTCAGAATGAGGACAGAAATATCCGTGCCATGCCCGGGTCCTGGCAGGCACTGGGGTTGCAAAGATGCACCACTCCAAGTCCCTGTGCTCCATAAGCCTGGACCAAGCACAGCAGGGATGCCGGCGGGTCTGCACCCAGCTCAACAGTGAACTGGTGCTACCCCTATCCTCCTCCCCAGAAAAGAAACTCCCTCCAGAAGCCCCCAGATTCCCCAGACAGAAGAGGGAACTGGGGCCCAAAGAGCTGGGGACTGCCCCAAGGTCAGTCGAGGTCTCTGGCAGCCCCAGCCTAAGGCTTCTGCCCTTACACGGTGACTTGGGCTGACCATTCTCACGGGCAGCTCCGGGGTCAAAACTTTTAGCAAACAACTTTAGTAACAGCAGATACTACAAAAGTTGGTGCTCCCTGCTGCGTGCCAGATACATCACTGAGCGACTCACATAGACACCTCCGAAATTTCTGCCTCCCAGCAACCCTGGAGTTGTTATAACTCTTCCCATTTGGCAGATACAGATCTGTGGCTCAGAGAAGTTTAGTCAATTGCCCAAGGTCACAACTGCTAAAAAGTACATGTGCAAAAATTCAAATGCAAACCTAGGCAGCCTGGATCCCAAGTTCTGGATTTCAAACCTTTCAAATGCCATATTCCCGACCCCCACCTCCCCACCTCTTCTCCCCTTGGCCTGGCCCCCAAGGGGGACAAGCTCAATGACCTGAGCCGGGACTCATGCGATGCTTGGGGACTCGGGAATGACAAGCGTCCTGGCAGCTCCCGCTTGCGGAGCGCGGGCGGTGAGCAGGCACTGTGCCAGGCTCGCTCCACGCACCCTCCCATTTAATCCGACAGGCAACGCCGCCGCGTCTCCCCCACTCCATGGAGAAGTAAGGCGAGGCTCTGGGGAAGCTGAGGCTCGGGTAGGGGGCGACAACTGGAGAGGAAGCGACAGCTGGAGCAGCAACTCAAGTCGGCCCGACTGAGGTTGGGGGAGGGGACGGGGAGCACGAGACCCAGTCCTGCCCACGCCGCGCAGTCACTGCCGACTGGAACCAGCACCAAACACTGCACCTCTCAGTTTCTCCGCCCAGGAAATGGGCCTGGACCCCCAACCCCAAGACCCTCAGATCACGCTGCGGGCCACAAAGAGCCCCGTCCCTCCCCTACATTTTGTAAAAAATTTTGAAGTGCCCCGGGGTGCCCACCTACCCGGACAGGACCCGAAACTGCGAGCCATGGCGGGGGACTCGCAACGGGAGGGTGGCGGTGCGCCCGCTCCCCGCAAAGCAGCCTCCGCCCCCCACCTCCTCCTTTGTCCGGATCTCGCCGCAGCACAGCGGACAAAGAGCCCCCAAGGCGGGCGCGGCTCCCGGAATGGACCCTTCCGAAGCCGCGTACCCGCCCGCCTCACCTCCCCCGCCGCCGGGACCCCGGCCCAGGGCACCGCCGCCTCGCGCGCCTCCGCCCCGTCTGGGGCCGCCCCTGCCCTTCCCGCGAGCCCTGAACGACCAAGAGCCAGACCGCCCAGCCCCGCTCACCATGGCGCGGCCCGAAGCCCAGCACGACTGCCCCGCAGCAAAACCACCGGCCCGGTTCCGCCCGCCTGCCTGCCGGGTCCGGCCGCAGCTCACCGTCGGGACGCAGAAGCCCAGCTCTGCGGCGGGCGGGGCGCCTCTGGGTCCGCCCCCTATAGGGGCGGGGCCTGTCTAGCACCAATGGGCGCTCGCGCTGGGTCGGCGGGGCGGTGTGAGCAGGGGCGGAGTCACGTGCGCTAGGGGATTGGGGGCCCGCGGCCTAGGGGCCCTGGGACTCTGGTAGGGCGGGGCGGGGAGGGGCGGGGGCTGAGCGCAGCTGGCAGAGCGAGAGGTGGGGGCGGGTTCAGCCCCGGAGCGCGCCGATTGGGCGCCTGTGGGTACCCCCACAGGCTGCCTAGATCCACAGGGCTCACTGTACCACGGCAGGCCGCCCTGTATTCGCTCGATGGCCAGGGGAAACTGAGGCTCACAGCAGGTAAGAGTGTTGCAAGCCCCGTACCCCGGGACTACGGTTGGTGAAAGGCACGACCACTGGAGTTGAATGACGTTGTCTGGGAAAAGAGCTTCATTCATTCGTTCACTGGTGCATTCGTCCGTGTCCATCCATCCCTTCCTTACCTAGGGAGCACAGACCTTGCGCCTGCAGTGCCAGTCGCTGCTGAAACAGCCACGAACCGGTCCAACAAGGTCCCTCCCTGAGACCTGTCATTGCGCTTTGGGCTGCGGCCTCAGGGTATTTGCAGTCTCTGAATGACTCATAATCACTGTCATTTTTTAACATACAAACCCCTTGGCTTGGCCCCTACCAAGTGCCATGCCCTGCACTAGCCGCTCAACACATTTTATCAAAACAACTCCAAAAAAATTGTCTTGTTTTACAAATGAGGAACCTTGGGCTCTTGAAGAGCTGAAGTATGAACTGGTGGGTGGATGAAGCAGAATTTGAGGCCAGGCCTGACTGCATGAGAGCACAGTTTGAGTTAGTGCATTTCCCCTGCCCGGAAAGACAGACCACCAAGGGACATGCTCCTGGTATCAGCTGGGCTAGAAAGAGTAGAAAGAGGGCTGAGGAGGTGTCTGGGGCACAGGGTCCTTGGAGATACAGGGTACGTGGAGCCAAGTCCACCTGGGTCAGAGTTGTCTTTCCCAGCCCAGCTGGCTCACTGCGCTGTTTTCTTGTTCCTTGCTCAGGAGAGCTCTCACTGATCTCCTGTCCTCTGGCAATACTGTGCATTTTCCTGGGTGTGTGATCAATTTTAGTACTATGTGTCTCCGCAGGACTAAGTGCTCCTATACACTGCAGTATCTACAGAACAGTGCCTGGCACACAGTCAGTGCTCAATAAATGCATGGAGAGGGAATGATCTGACTGCAGATCTCCAAGTGGCTTAGCTGTGTCCTAGCCAGGAAGGTCAGGCCCAAAAGTGAGCAAAGGTTTTGAGCATGTATGGGGCACAGAGAGGCAGAGGGAAACCCAGCTTCAGGAGAGCTGCTCAGAGGCCAGAGCCAGGAATCTCCAAACTGCACTGTCCTCAAAGCTGTTCCCACCTGTGTCACACTGAGTGCAGAGTGGAAGGAAACAGGTTCTTCCCACAGACAGATCCAGAGGCTTCTGTGGTCCCAGCCTCAGGCTGGCCAAAACCTTATTAGTGGTGAGGAGATGCAGAGCTGGGGCTGGTCGTGGGATGCCTGGGAGACCAAGCCCTGTTGGAGAAGATTCTGAGGGAAATGGTAAAGGTGCACAGGATGGCATAGAAATGAGAATCACACTGCCCAGGTTCAAACCCTGCCTTTCCTGTTGGCTGGATATGGAAAAGGAGCCTGACACCTCTGTGTCTCATTTCAAACTTCTGAAAAATGGAGTTGCCCACAAGGTTGCCACTCAGGTTGCTTGCAGTGCGGGGCACAGAATAAGCAGTGCTTTCCGCCCACTGTCCACCTCGGTAATAGGATTGGCGGGTCCAAGCTTTCTCATTTGGATCTTGGGGAAATTGTTGCATCCCTCTGAGCCTCAACCTCCCCATCTCTGGGGATACTGAGAGGTGGGGGAACTGGCAATAACCCACCTGGCCCAGCCATCACCTGACCCAGAATGCTTCACTAGCCGGGTGTGGTGGTGCACACCAGTAATCTCAGCACTCTGCAGGCAGAAGCAGAAAAATCACCGCATGAACTGTATAGTGAGACCCTCTCTCCAAAAAACAAAAACAATGCTTCAGTAATAGTAAATGGCAGTAAAGATAACTGGCAGACACCCCTCCGGCACTTACTGGCAGCTTCTCTAATCAGTACAGGTGTAGGAGCTCATTTAAATGCCCTGTCTGAAGATGAGGCACTCACTCAAGTTGCCCAGGGGCGAGTGTGTCAAAATACAGAATGACTCTAGGTCTGGCCTGGGCCTCCACATTTCTCACGCCTCCCTGGGGGTGCTGGTGGTTTGGAGGTGTTGGTTTGGTGACCATAGTAAACAGTAAGGGGCTGCACCTGCTAAAGGCCACAAAGGCAGTGGGCACCACGTTTGCGGCTGAGCCTTCAAAGTCAGCTGCAGAGCTGTGTGTTTAGCCATGACCCTAATGCCTGCCGGAGCCCCAGCTTTCTCTCCTCAACAAAGAGACAGGAAGTAGAGTTCCCCTCCCCCAAACCCATTTCCTCTCTCCGGGCCCCTGCCACCTCCCTCCACAGTGACATCTGGCCAAGCGTCCCAGGGGTCCTTGAGTCAGATGTTCATTAGCCAACAAAATAATTGAGGGTGAGGGTGAGCTCACCCAGCTCCCTGGGGCTAGTCCTGGGTCAACCTGGCCCGATGCCCACTTTCCCAGAGTGTAGGAGGGATGGGACAAAACAGGACCTTGCTGGGCCTGAGGGTGGAGAGACCTCTGCCCAGCTCAGGGGAAGTGGCCTGCACCGCTGAGCCAAAGGCCACCAGGCTAGGAATGTGTCTTTGCCTGGGGCATCCCCACACAGTCCCAGGCCTCCAAACAAAGTGAAAACTGCCTTGTGCACTGGGACTTTCCTGAAGGTGAGAGGGGACCTGCTGGTTAATTCTGCAGGGTGAGGCTAGGTGGGACACAGAGGGTGTCTCCTTGCTCTGAGAAGTGCAGCAATTTTCTTTCAAAGAAAGAATCACTGCTAATGTGGGTTTACCATCTCCTGGAGGTGGGCTCAGCACCTTATACATAGGAAGGAAAGTAGCCTTGGGCCGAATCTTGGGCAGCCAACACTTATAAGCTAAAGGTATTGATTTTTATGTTGAAATTCCTAGGGGGAGGAAGTGCTGGAGATAGAGCTGAGTCTGGGGCATACTAGGCAAGCACTCTACCACTGAACTACTTCACTGGTCTTTTAAATTAGGGGGGCAGTGTCTCACCATGGTGTTCTCTCTTCTCTGGCCTTTGTATGACCATCTGTCTTAGTTAATTTTTACTCATTGCTGGGACAAATACCCGACACTCAAAATGATGGAAGGAAAGGTTTATTTAGCTCACAGTTACTGGAGGGTTCAGTCCATATTCCACTGGCTCCAAGGCAAACAACAGCAGTTCATGCGGCAGAAAACAAAGAAGAGCAGAGGAGGAGCAGCAGCTGCAGCGGCGCGGTGTCCATCAAGCCTCTCTCTTCTGTGCTGACTGTGGAGACCAGCGCTCCACGAAGATCCAAGATCCAAGATCGGAGCTCCTCCAAAGTAGCGCATCATGGCAAAGAGCAAAGATCAAGCTCCTCCGAAGACTGAGACTTCTCCACAGGAGGCAGGAAGTCCAGCAGGGCGGCAGGAAGCCTTTCTCAATTCCTGGACCCTGCCCACCTGCAGGGCTAGGCCCCCATGCTGAGAACTGCCAGAGCTGAATCATCCAAGTTGACACAATGTATCAACTAATACAATCCACCCCTTGTCAACTTGGCAACTAGACATAAACTTTTTTAAGCCAATTTCCAGGTACACAGACATGCTTAAACATTTTACAAATTGAACACTGTATTAGAACCATGACATGTTACCCCTGGCCCTCCAAAGACTCATGCACAACTGTTTATGCAAAAGACATTTTAGTCCATCTCTAAGAGTTGCCAAAGTCCTACCTGTTTCAGCAACACTGAAAAGTCCAAGTCCCAAGCTTCCAAGATCTAAGGCAAACTCTTAGCTGTGAGCCCCTCTACAAATGAAAAACTAAACACTTCTAACATTCACAGGCACAAGATAAGCATAGCCATTCCAAAAGGGATACACAGCAGGACACAAAAAAAATGGGACCAAAACAAGTCCAAAGTCCAGAAAGGCAAACATTAAGTCCTGTAGTTCCCTGTGGACCATCCAAAGCACCCTGTAATGAGCTGTGAGCTCCAAAAGCCTTACCTGGCTCCACCCCTATGACACTTCTGTGGGTAGCTCCTATGGCTTTTCTCTCAGGCCTGCTTTTCTCCCTTTTTGCAGCTTTTCTTAGACCATCCACATTCCTGGCTTTTTCAAACTTCTGAGGTTTCCACTGAATAGGCTTCTCATTCACAGCTTCACACACTGCCCTCTCAGGGGCACACTGCCTGGCCTCCCAGGCCTTCTTCTGAAATCTGGGTAGAAGCCTTCTGAACCTCAGAACGCCTGCATTCTGCATGTGCCTACAACCAAAGCCACGTGGATAATGCCAAGGGCTGCTGCCAGCTGGAGCAGTAAGCAAGCTTCATTCTCTCTTGACTGTAGGAGCTGAGTGCCTGGATTGCTGAGCAATCTGACTCTGATTCCAAGAAACAAATTCTCTATGTTGGCACCATTCTGTAATCTGGTGTGGCTGCCGCCTCGATTCTGGAACCTGGTGTGGCCGCTGCCTCCATTCTGGAACATGGGGCTCTGCGGCTTTTTCCTCAAAGCAAAGTCCCTCACCCTTGCCATTCTGAGGCTGCAAAGGGCAAGAACCTGCCACCTCCTGTGATGCCCTCAGGACGTCTCTTCTACTCTCCTGTTCCTTCTCAGCAATGGAGATCCTCTCAGCTCTGTCTTCACAGTCCACAGCTTTCCTGGAGCTTTCTTTCTGGCCAAACTCACAACATTTAAAATCATCCTTTTGGGCTCTTTGCTCTTGATTCTCAAAATAAATCTGGCTAAAAGCCCCAGTAACAACCAGGCCACTGCC